GCAATCATGAATTACAAATTTAAAAATTAATAAAGAAATAATTTTTTTATATAGTTCGTGTGTTCATTTCAAATTTTAATATATATATATATAAATATAATATATATATATATATAAATTGTAATATATATATAAATAACTTAATATTAAAAAAAAGTTTAAAAAATTCAGGCAATTCGGGCGGGCTTGGGCCGCCGAATACAAGCCCGCGGCCCGTTCAAGGTGAAATTTGGGCTCGGGCGGGCGGCCCCAAAATCTCGGGCGGGTCGGGTTCGGGCTCGGGCAAATCCTCGGGTTTTTCGGGCGGTCGCGGGCGGCCCGTCCAAAGTTCCAGCACTAAAACCGACCGCCGCTAGACCCAATCTTCCCCCCGAAACTGACCGCTCGACCATCTCTCTTCCGACTGAGCTCTCTTCGGGTTTTTCGGGCGGTCGCGGGCGGCCCGTCCAAAGTTCCAGCACTAAAACCGACCGCCGCTAGACCCAATCTTCCCCCCGAAACTGACCGCTCGACCATCTCTCTTCCGACTGAGCTCTCTCACGACCGACCACCGATTTTTCTCTCCGATCACCTCTCACCGACCGCCGGCTTTTCTCTCCGATCAGTAACTTGAGTTTGTATTTGATCGTGTTCATCAAAAACTGACTCCGTTCCCACTAAAACCGACAAAAACCGACCCCGACCACTCACCAAATTCCCGAACACAAAAACCGACCACCTGCTCACCAAAATCTGACTAAAATGGCATCAAAAACCAGCTCTTCTTCCTCAACTAAAACGGTCATTTCCCGAACAGTTGTCGACGAGGCAACGGAATCTGCCGAGGTAATATTCTTGTTTTACTTTTTCTTATATATTTTTGCAAGAACACAAACTTAATATAAGCAACATTGGTCTGTTCATAGTCGGTTCTTAGTCGGTTTTGGTTCTGGTCTGTTCTCAGTCGGTTCTAGGTCGGTTTTAAGTCGTTTCTGGTGGTCGGTTCTTAGTCGGTTCTTGTCGAATATGGTCGGTTCTTGTCGAATACAGTCGGTTCTGGTTGGTTCTTGGTGAGGTCGATTCTGGTCGGTTGGTGGTCGGTTCTTGGTCGGTTCAGGTCAGTTTTGGTCGGTTCTGTTCGGTTTTGGTCGATTCTGTTCGGTTTTGGTCAGTTCTGTCTGTTTGGTCGGTTCTGCGGGGATTTTGGGTCGGGTCATGGTCAGTTCAGTCGGTTCTTGTTGGTTTCTTAGTCTATTCTAGTCGGTTCTGTCATTTTGGTCGGTTCTGACCAGTGTGTTTTTTCTTCTTTTTCAGTATGACCTCCCAAAGTACAACACAGGTGAACTTCCTGGGATTGGACATCTAAAGATGATCATGGATCCTATGCGGTAGTATTTCCCAGTGAGTCTGCCTTTGGACATTTTATTTCGATGTCTGAAAATATGATATATTTTGGAGTATTGACACAATATCTGCTTTTGAGGCGGATAGAAACAAAAAAAAAACATGAGTTGTGGTTCATGATTAATGGAACCACAACTCGGTTTGGAATGAGGGAATTTGCATTAATTACTGGATTGAACTGTGGGGAAACTCCAGAGCCGGACGTGATCTTGAAAGCTTCGAAGAATAGAAGATTATTGGAGCATTTTAAGTCCCACGTAGTAATTGTTGCTGATTTAAGAAAATTGCTCACAGGGAAGAAGATAAAAGGTAGCGATAAAGCAAAGATCGCTATCATTTATTTTTTAGCACAAGTATTATTATCTGGGGACGAGAAGAAGACCGTCCCACTGGATTGGCTGTCTTACATTGACGATTTAGAATTTTTCAACAGCTATCCATGGGGCAGGGTGTCTTTTGAATGCACCCTGCAGGCTTTGAAGAAGAACTTGAGAGA